GAAGATTCATCTAATGTTTCATGTTTCACTTTTAGAAAGATATAAAGAATTGATCATACCAAGTCAAAGACAACCACCACCTCCTATGGTTGAAATTAATGTTCATATTGAATTTGAGGTAGAAGAGATATTAGATTCAAAAATAAGACATGGAAGGCTTGAATATCTTGTTGATTGGCGCACATATGATATCAACAATCGCATATGGGAATTAGTTGGCAACCTTATAAATATACAAATGAAGGTTCAAAAGTTCCATCAATGACATCCATCTAGATCAAAAGTAGTAAAATGAAGAATAGTAGTTTGATAAGATGGCTTTACTATGAAGATTCTTACTTCTTGGCCTAATAAAAAAGGGAAGGAGACAACTTCTAAAGAAGGAGTTGTTGTCAAATATTTAGAATAGTATAAGTCAATAGTTTGAGTTCACGACCATAACTTATTTATATTCTTTTGGTCTTATCTACTTTATATGATATGGATAGTCAAGAGATAGATGCCTTCCTCGTCATACCATCTCAATTAAGTAGCTCATGGAAACAACCCCGAGATGAAGAGTTGCTTAAACCACAAAGATATCAAAGGTATCCTTTGATATCATTGATAATTGTGTTTGAGATAGAATTTGCCTATGAAAGACGTCCAAAAGAAGTGTTTGTAGTACAATTCTATAATGAAGATATCAAAGTTCATGCTTGGTCACAAGTAGAAGGTTTGAGACACTATTGATGGCTACAAGGACCTATAAACCATTTACCTCGTAAATAATAATTAAAATATATAATAGACACCATGCGATAGATCCTCAATTTCTTGTAAATATATTAGCTTGCTGCAATATTGCTTCTCGAAGACCTCAAAGTTAGAAGAAGACATGATGTCATGGACAAACAACTGAAGAAGGTTCTAAAAGATTTTAGAAGGTTCTGGAAGGTACCACTAGGTTTTAATAAGGCTCTTGAAGGTTCTGGGAGATTCTAGAAGGTTTTGAAAGGTTTCGATAGATTCTAAGAAAGTTCTAGAAGGTCATAGGAAATCTTAAAAGGTTCTAGGAGGCTTTAGATGATTTAAGAAGTTGCTGAAGAAGGATCTTAGGCTTGCTTTGTTTTCAAGCCTCATAGAAACTTTTCAAGAAGCTTCCTAGGACCTAGTATGTATAGGAGTCAAAGGTGAGGAGATCCTCAGTCTCAACAACTTACTTCTTGTCATTTAGCGAGAACCTTCTTGCCTTGTATCCAATTGTTGTTCTAATGTCAAGCTAATTCTATTTCTTAGACTTGAATCCTTGTCTTGTATATGGTCTCTAACAATTATATCTTTTTAACCATAAAAGTCCTAAAATGATAAATTTGGACAAGGTTCTAATAATATTAAATATTATTTTATTATTATACCTCTCAAATGATATTTCCAATAATATGGTCTCATGATTAATATTGCTTAAATATAAAGATCAATTATCTATTATTTCTATATATACAAGTTTTGATCTCTACATTAGAAGAATTTTATGAAGTTTAATAAACTCCTCATCTAAAAAGCAAATAAATGTTCCTAAATCTAATAAGGTATTTGTTTGAAAGTCTTGTAGAAAAAATAATAAAGGTATAATAAAACAACAAGTACGTTGGATAGGAAAAGAATGACCTTGATGAATTTAAGATATTAGAATGTTTAAGTGCACACTTCCTATTGTAGCTTGGCTTCTTTGTTTTTTTGAGTGATCACACTCCTAATCATAGTTGTATATTTTTTTTTCAAATTTTTTCCAAACTTGTGGCCTCTTTTACTTCAATACAAATATAGGCCTTATCTAAATTAATGCTTCTTTTTCTCTACTATAAGTAATTTGAATTGTATTACATCAATTTGCATATCTTCAACTTAAGAGTGTGGAAGCAATATATTTGTTGAAATAATAGAATATGAATTTTTAATACATTATTTTGTTAAAATTTATAAATATTGATCTTGAGAATGTTAAAATAATCAATTATTACACTTCAAAACTTGATTAATAGCTTCATCAAGTATTTAATAATTAAATAATAATATTAATAGAACTTTCATATTATTCCTTAATCCTCAATAGAATTGACTCATAAGATTTTGTTCATTCCAATTGATATTACAAGACAATTGCATAAAATTTGATGCATAAATTCATGTATAGTGCGATCCTTGACAAAATGAGCAAATCTTTATTATTACCTATCAAATCTTATCATATTCTTCAAATGCCTTTGCAAATGCATCTAAAAAAGCTTTAAAGTTTCTCAAGCTTCAAAATCTCTTCTCAAATAAAGGAGAAAATGAAGAAAAAGCATGTTTTGTAAATAAGGTTTCATTTAAATCAACTTGTGACTCCTTTGTTAGATAATGCTTATGTTGTAAAAAAGTTATCAATTGAATTTGTTTAATAAATCCTTGAAATTTAGAACATGTGCCATCAAACTTTTCTAATGGACTAATTTGAAGCTCCTAATGTTATTGAATAAGTGGATTTTCTTGTTGAGGTACATATGCGATTGCATCTCTAGATATAGAAACTTGAAAAAGTAGTTGCATCACAAGCTAAATTATTCCAAGCCTTGCATCACCATGAGATCTTATAAAAGAATCCTTTAATTTCAATAGTTCAACAAGATAAAGTATTCAGCTTATTTATAATAACATCTAAATTGGACTCAAGAGACTCAACCATACTAACATCTTCACTTCTATCCATCTTGAAAGAAAAATAGAAAATTTCTAAATAATATTAGTTTAGAGGAAGATAATCTATAACCTCTAAAGTAGTCAGATGTCTTCAAGAAGAGAGATAATCCACTCTCTATGAAGAAGGATCAAGCTCTAATATTTATAAGAGAGCAATCTCAACAAATTATCACAATTATATTATATAAAAGATCAAACAAGAAGTTGAACAGAAGAATTTCAATAAAAAAGTTAGCATGAACTTGATTAAATTAAATGTATACAAGATCTTTTAATCTTAAGCTCTTATAATTTTATATTTTTTTTAATAATATATTTCTTTATTAAAACAATACAATTTGTATTATGTATAAAAAATATCACATATGAAAAAACAATTAGATTTTTTTACAACAACATTTATTGCTATCATAGACTATCAAAAAATATTATATCAAACAAAAAGACTAAATTTGTACCTAGGTTTTGGAAAATTCTTTTGAAGATATTGAAAATATATATAAAATTATGATTAGTCTTTTATTTTTAAATTGATAGACAAATAGAACAAGTGAATAATTAATGGAACAATATCTTGTATACTAGCATAGATATGATATTAATGAATATAAGTAAGAGCCATGCTAAAATCTTGCAAATGTAATAGAGAAGATTGGTGCTTTTTATCAATGATATTTATTACAACTAATATGAGGATTAAAAATATTATTTATTATAAAGCAAATTATGTTCAATAAAAAATTCATTCTATCTTTTAGTCTTGTTTGTGGTTTCTTTGTAAATGTGATAGAAAATCAACAACTACTACATTGAACTAAGGAGCTATTATTTTTTGAATTTCCAAAAAAAACCCTTGATATTTTTATAACATTTAAGATAGCATAATAGACATAAAGTCTATAAATTAAAAAAAAAACATATTTTCCTTAAAAAAACAGCAAGATACAACAATTTTGATATTACAATTTTAGAAGAGACTTTCAATATTTAGTAGTGGTACTAGTGGTAAGAACCACTTTTGATGCTATTCTTAATATTTGTTTTTGAAGGAAGTCATGTGATGTGGCCTATAAAACATTTCCACATAATTCTTTGGTAAGATAGTATATATAGAGGCAAGAATAAAGCCTTCTTCAATGCTTTTCTTGCTTCTAACATAGTTTCAAGAATCTCTAATTTTCTTATCTTTAACAATAGTCATTCTAATTCTTTCTTAAATATACATCTTTTCATTTTTTTTGTTATATTATATATATATATATATATATATATATATATATATATATATAGTTACATTCTTCAAGTTCTTATCTTTGACACTTAATTAATATATGTAGAAGCAAAATTGAAACCATTTTTAATATTAACAAAACCTTTATTGTATTTAAGTTTAATATTTTGAAATATATTTTATTATAATAATTAATTTAATAAAAATTTGAATCACTAATTGGCATTCATTTTTTATTGATAAAAATTTGAGTATTTTTAATAAATAATATATAAATATATTATTTTAAACTATCATTTATTTTTTATGAATTTTTAAAAAGAAATAATTATTTTAATTTCAAATTCAACAAACTAGTTTTGTTGCAAAAAAAATGATATTTTTTCTTTTATCTTTTTTATTTTTTAATGCAAGATAATTTTTAAATTATAAATTTTTATTCTTTTGAAATTTTGATTGATTTTAAAATTCTATAAAAAAATAGATAAGTATAAGATTTGTATAAAATATTTGTAAAATAATTTAATTTAATTTATGTAAAATATTTTATAATTTATTTGGTTGTAAAAAATAAATTTTATTATGTTTTTATAAATAATCATGTAGAATATATCAATAAAACAATGAAAAAAATAATATGATTTCTTTTTAATTTTTAATATTTTTATATAAGGTATAAATTTTTCATTCATAATTTTTATTATTTTAAGATAGTTGAAAGTTTAAAACTTTATACAAAAATGGTTATAAGTATGTCATCTTTATAAGATGTAATTATTTAAACAAAATGCATCTACAAAAAAAAAAAACATAATTAAAAGATATGTTGAGAGGATACAAACAACATCACAGCAAAGGGGAAACAGTGTGTTGAATCCACAGAACCCCCTTGAATGTCCCGCAATTTACTAATTAAGATGCCACTTCGTTCCCTTGATACTTGGAAGGCAAAGTTGAGCCCAGCCCAGCCTTGAAGTGAAGCCCCCACCCAAGTCCGCAGGGCAGGCCACGCCTCGACCGACGCCCGCAAGCCCTAATTCCCCACCCCAAAGTCGCCGTCAAGCGGCTGCACAGCGTCGCAGACTGCGTGGGATAAACTTGACACGCCGCTGTCATGAAGTTCTCTTCCGCAGCCAGACGAGAAGCTGTGTGCCTCTTCCCACTCTCGCTCGCTCTGCACCTCGCCACTTTGTCTGAGTGCGCTACCCACTGTGTGTATTCTTCCTCTTGAGAGAACCCTAGTCGCATTCACAGAGCAGCTGATTTAGAGTCTCCACCGAATTCCACCATGTTGGCGCTCTTCGAGACGCCCGCGGGGTTCGCCCTGTTCAAGGTTTTGAATGAGGGTAAACTCGATGCCTCCGAGGTGAGTTTGTGGGTTTGCTGATTGGGTTGTTTTTGCTTGTTTGATCGATGGGGTTTTAGCGTTATGCTAGTGGTGTTTGACCTTCGTTGAAGGCGGTGGTATTCTGGTTGATGGGTGCGGACATTGGATTTTTTGGGTTTTGTGCAGGAATTGTACAAGGAGTTTGAGACTGCGGACCTCGCCCGTAAGGTATGAAACCTCTCTCTCTTCGTTCCTCGAAAACCCTAAGCGTCATTGTAAAACTTAACTTCTGCTGATGAAGGGATTTAGGGTTTTTCGTTCCTCTATTAACTCGTTGTTGTGGACCTTACAGATGGTGAAGTTGAAAGCCTTTGAAAAATTCGAGAATACCACAGATGCCCTGAATGCTGCGTCACACCTTGTGGAAAGCAAGTTGCCAAAGGGTCTGCGCAAGTTCCTTAAGAAAGAATGCCAAGGGGAGACTCTAGCTATAGCTGACTCGAAGCTTGGAAAAGCTATTAGTGACAAGCTGGTGAGTGTACCCATACGGTCTTTCGTTTTGACTTGCTGTATTAGGGTTTAGGGTTTTAGAATATGTGTGCTTGATTTTGCATACGATCCTGCGTGACGCACCTGGCACCTGAAGTGTAGTGTACTTGAATCCTTATGTTGGCCACTCGAGTATTTACGTATTCTCAATGATGTCCGTGAACAGGAAATCAACTGTGTTAACAATGCGGCAGTGGCAGAGCTGATGAGGGGTCTAAGATCACAATTGTCGGAACTAATTTCTGGTCTTGCTGGTCATGATATGGCTCCCATGAGTCTGGGACTGTCTCACAGTTTATCGCGATACAAACTTAAATTCAGCCCTGACAAGGTGGACACCATGATCGTGCAAGCCATTGGACTCTTGGACGATTTGGACAAGGAGCTAAATACTTATGCTATGAGAGTGCGTGAATGGTATGGTTGGCATTTTCCAGAGCTTGCTAAGATCGTTCAAGATAATGTTCAATACGCTAAGTCAGTGAAGCTGATGGGCAGTCGCACTAACGCCGCAGACCTGGATTTCTCTGGGGTGAGTACCTGTGTTTGTCGCTGATATAATCCTTATTGAAGACTTAACTATACGCCGTATATCGGTAGTTAGACTATTGTTGTTTTTTTTTCACCTCTTTAGAATGTAGGTCTATTCCTTAAGAAAGCTCTTTTGATGCTTACTCTGCTGGTGGTTTTTGACAGATATTGCAAGAGGAAGTAGAGTCTGAAATGAAAGAAGCTGCAGTCATTTCCATGGGTACGGAAGTTAGTGACCACGATATGTTGAACATCAAGTCCTTGTGCGACCAAGTCATTGCTCTCTCAGAGTACCGAGGCCAACTTTTTGACTACTTGAGGAGTCGTATGAATGCTATTGCGCCTAATCTTACTGTCATGGTTGGGGAGTTAGTAGGTGCTAGGTTAATTGCCCATGCTGGAAGTCTCATTAACTTGGCAAAACACCCGGCAAGCACTGTTCAAATTTTGGGTGCTGAAAAGGTTAGTTGGCTTCTAATGCAAACTGCAACTGGTTTTCTAGTCATCCATTCAATATAAATGGTTGGGTAACTAAATGTTTTTGGCTCACTGCAGGCACTTTTTAGGGCATTGAAGACCAAACATGAAACTCCGAAATATGGGCTTATTTATCACGCCTCTTTGATAGGACAAGCGGCACCTAAATTCAAGGGTAAAATTTCTCGAGTCCTTGCTGCAAAGTCGGCGCTGTCGATCCGTATGGATGCTCTGGGAGAGGGCTCGGAAGCTAGCATTGGTATTGAAAGCCGCGCTAAGGTTTGTTCCTGAACAATTCTGCTTTTATTCAGTGCCCTCGCTCGCTCTGTTACTGGATTCATATACCGCTGTCCAATTGCCTCATGCTAGCTGAAAGAGAACGTTAGTCACTGCTTTCTTTTTTGAGTGAACTGTGCAGTACATTTTTTGAAATTCTAGCGGGAATTTCATGCAATGATTATTTTGTTTCAGGTTGAAGCAAGGTTAAGGCAACTTGAAGGTAGAGCTCTTGGAAAAACTCCTGTCTCTGCATCCAAGGGCAAGCCCAATATTCAGGCTTATGAAAAAGATAGGAAATCTGGAACTCCTGGATTGCTTTCTGCCGCCAAGGTTTACAATCCCTCCGCTGATGTTACTATGGATGAACCTACTGATGCCACCCCCGCTAAGAAGAAAAAGATCAAGGAGGCTGCAGAGGAGCCAGCTGCTGAACCAGCAGCCGAAGACACTTTACCGAAGAAGAAAAAGAAATCTAAGGAAGCTGCAGCAGAGGCAGAACCTGAACCAACTACGGATGCCACTTCACCCAAGAAGAAGAAGAAGAAATCCAAGCAAGCCGCAGAAGAGGCAGCTGCTGAACCTACCACAGAGGCCACTCCTCCACCAAAGAAGAAGAAATCAAAGGATGCTGTCACACCTACCGTTGCGGTTGCCGTGGCTGTCACACCAGAGCTCACCAAGTCTGGGAAGAAGAGGAAAGCTGAGACTGAAGCTGCCGCCGGGGCTGCAGTAGAGGCCGCAGTGGAGGCAGTCACTGGAGTAGAGAAGAAGAAGAAAAAGAAAAAGAGCAAGGAAGAATCTGCCTAAGCAAGAGGCGCCCAAGGATAGTAGTTAGGTTACTTGTAGTGTATACATGGAGCGAAATATGTCATTGAAGGGTCAAACGCTGACCCTACTCTCAATTATCGAACTTACACATTCGGCGCCCAGCACAATGCCTGCGCGCTCTTGCTGTGGGATGCTCCCCGGGTGCCGAGATTTGTATTTCAGGTAACATAGTGGAGAATTCCTATCTGAAATATCGTAAGTGATTTCACTCCAGATTATCAGATTCTGGGCGGTGCCAGGAGTCCACTGCAGACGGCAGTTCCGCTGACCTGTCGGATGTACATTTTTGGGCTGCTCAACAATTCAACATTTTTGGGCTTGTTCTCTGCTTTCTTAAATCCGCAACGTGTCCGTGTTATATCATGTGTCGATAATGACTGGTCGGGACCCTCCCATTGGTAATGAGACTGACGATCGTATCGAGATAATCCCAGCTCACATCAGACCTGCTAGCGATAGACTTCTGGTCTGAATGGTTCCCCTGTGCTTCCTGGTTGTACAACTTGTGGGAACAGTAACTAAATGTTGATCAAATGTAACTAATGGTTGTGTGGAAAACGTCCATAATTCACATGTGCCAACGGTATGTTGTAATGGAATGTGCTGCGAATTTGCAAGCGCTTATTTTACTCTGGTACATATCTGCAAAAGAGCAAAAATTCTTCCTTTGCACGTTGATGTTGTGCATACTTTCAAGACGTGAGTGTAAGCAACCATTTCTATTGTCCTCTTGCAGTAGGGTCATTGGCAAGATCTGCTTGAGCATGCTTACGACGATTCACATTAATCTTGTGCTTTAAGTTGATGCTCTGGTTCTTGTGTCATCTACACGTGTTAATTTCTGCAACTCATACAGTAAAACCTTCAAAAGTCTTTGAGGCTTGTGCAATAATTTGAGACATTTCAAACTGACATGTGTTGCATTCTTTCGCAGTCAAATTGAGTAACTTTAGCTGATACTCGAAAAAACGTAAAAGCTGTAGCCATGTGTAATCAACTATCGGATACGGTTTTTCCGTTATGGTAGTATTTGCAATACCAGAGACAGTTAATTTCCTAAGATTTTGTCCGTAAGTCATCACGCTTTGGATTTTCGAAACATGGTCTACAGGATTAGTGTTCTATGGATGCGGAGGTAGGTCTAATTTTGACTGGAGTTTAATAATAAAGTTTCTTGATCGACGAATAGGCAGCATTCCAGTTATCGCAACTTCAATACTGGGAATTGTAGCCAGTTTTCAAGTTATCAATTGTTACTTTATCGAAACAGTTTCGACAATGGCCGTCATTTCGGAGTACGATGAAGAGGAGGAGCAGGTGCAACCTCGCACTTCAACATCACGGCAGACGAAGCCATCTGAATTAGTGAAGCCTTCTAAAGAAATACCTGCAGCGGCCGCTCCTTCGCAAGCCCAACCCCGCGGCCAATTTCCTCCGCCGAGCCAGCCCGACAACATCGAACTCCACCAGCACGACCCCGTCCTGAGTGCCATGCTTGAAGAGCACAAACGGCACCCTCTACAGCTTCTAACGACCGTCATCGATTTCCTGTTCAGAAAGACTGATCTTTCGCGGGAGAGTAGGGTGGAATCGATGGTGACCGAAATTGTAACAGCAGCGATAAAGAGATGTGCACATGAAGGAGAGGGTGTGTCGCCGGAGAAGGTTGCGAAAGTAGACCAAACCAAAATTTCGATACCAGAACATGATTCTCATAAGTCCGAACCAATGGATGAGTGTAGGACGCCGGTGAATACTTCTGTCGGCAAGACGTCCGCACAACATTTGCAAGTTAAAGAACCGCAAGGAGACGAAGTTGCCGAGGGTTCCGAAATAGCCCCATCTCCTCCAGGCAAGGTGGAGCCTGTCGCAGCAATAGATGAGCGTCCAGCATCAAAGGATGTAAAGGTTGATGAGCCAATCGAGGATCAGGGAACAGGCTTGAGTGAGAAAAATCTTTCGCCGCATTTCTTTCTTGTCGGTCGTGTGCGTGTTTGACGAGGCAACACATACTGTGTTGGTGAACTCAATGGTGATCGTGGTTTCTGGAATAATCGTGACTTCCCTGGTCGTCTGCAGAACCCAACAGTGGAAACGGATGTGATCACGAGAAATACTCATGGACGCAAACTCTAGCTGAAGTTACATTGCACATAAGCTTGCCACAAGGAACTAAAGGGAAATCAGTAGTGTGCGATGTAAAGAAGACGATGTTCAAGGCAGGTCTGAAGGGCCAATCACCTATTCTGGAGGTGAGATACGGTAGATTGCGTCCGGATAATTTGTTCTCCACACTTCGAGATAGGGCATTCATCTGCTGTTTTATCCGATTGGCAGAAGCCACCCACATAATTGGAGCGAGTAATACTCTGGTGCGAAATTTGTAATTAGTTTGTCGGGGTTTTCTCAAGTGGTGAAGCCTCGTTTGCAGGGCGAATTCGACAACCCAGTGAAGCCTGATGACTGTTACTGGACTATAGGTAAGAGATCGAAATTCATGAGCACCCCAGTGAAGGACTTCGATGAATGATCCAGTTACAAAGTTTTTTTTTATTACCAGGTATTTTATTAATCAAGGTGATTTTGGTTTTCAGAGGACGATGGGACATTGTGCGTTACCTTGACCAAATGCAATAGGATGGAGTGGTGGAAAAGTGTGGTGAAAGGAGAGCCTGAGATCAACACGAAGAAGGTGGTACCCGAGAACAGCAAGCTGCAAGACTTGGACGGTGAAACGCGTCAAACTGTAGAGAAAATGATGGTATGGAATTTCCTTCTTCTTCGGGGGATATTGGGGAAGAATGCAAGCTCAATCAGGATTGTCGGTCTACCTCCTTGCTGTCAATACTGTTGAGGTTCGTTTCCAGTCCTGCTTGGACGATATCTGGCTTCCAGATTGCAGCACTGAATTTGACTCACATGATTCATATCTCATAATCGGCTTAACTGGGAAGCTTATGTGCCGACGCTTGAGGGCTCCCAGGCCATTGCAATCAAGGCACACAAAACTTGCTTAAAAAATCTGCCCCTCAGATAACTTGTAGTATGCTCAATTGTCACCAGTATCTGAGATAATGTGGTATCTGAGACAACTCCGGTGAGAAATCTACATGAAAGACAACTGTTCACTTCGATAGTGCAAGCGCAGAATAATGTCATGTTTTAACCTCTGTTGTGTTGGTCTGACAGTATGATCAAAGGCAGAGGGCTCTCGGATTACCCACAAGCGATGAGTCCAGCAAAAGCGAGGTACTCAAGAAATTCATGGCGCAGGTACGTTCGCGTTGCAACACGATAATCGATCAGTAAATTTGCATTTTTCATAGATGTTTCTCACAAAATAATCCGGAACTCTAACGATAGAAAACTCAGTGCTCCATTTGTGCACAGTCGAGTTTCCACCACACATTTCCAGGTACACTTTCCACCTCAAGTTTTTGAGTGAAAAAAGTTGAAAACTAAAACACATCCACAAACCGAGGCTCATGTGGACTGTCACTTTTAAATACCTTTAAATCCCTTACATGGCTTGTCCTTGATTGCAGCATCCAGAAATGGACTTTTCGAAGGCGAAGATTTGCTAGAGGCCGGTGAGTTATTTTGCTAAGATGTAAATTCGTCCCATGAGTACCTGAAGTACTCTGAATCACAAAATCACGAAAGTAAAAAATTGAAGTCGATCATAGGATAGTCGGGGTAACAGTCCTCGTTTCCAGAAAAAACGGTTTTACTAATACAAAAAATAACAAGTTCGAAGGTAGAGAATCGATCAATGCGTGCAGAATCCGAGAAAAATCCGAGCATTATAATGCACAAGAGCAACAGGACAGCTCTAACCATGTCTCAAACTTGAACTTCGAAACTTATATCAGGCTTATTAGTACCGAGTGAGAAGGGACCTTCAAATGCACTTGCAACTAATGCACAATCAAAAACTTAATAAAAAAACAAAATTGGTTGAGAATGCTTCGGTACAATGATTCCTTAGAATTCAAGACAGGTCTGCTGAGACGAGAACTTCATATAAGATTTAATTGTTGCAGAGGTTAAAGTGTACCTTACATCATTTGGTCTTTCAAACTCTTTTTCTTCTTTTTGTTTGGAAAAAGATGAAGAAGATGAAGATGAAGGAGACGCCCTTTACACACTTTAACTTAGTGCATATTTAAGTCGGAAATGAACTATGACCCAGAGTGGATCAACAGTCAGCATCTTCATTTGTCCACCATCCTCAGCTTAGAGACTCTGGACCTCCAAACGTTGGACGAGCTTCTATAATTCATAAAGACTTTTTAAAAGACTCACAAAAGATGATGACGAAGCTTACCTCTTCATATTCTCATCCGGTTTTCTTGTCCTTATGGAATGCCGTGCACTCCTTGAAAAAGCTTCCGCTGTTTTAGATTCACGCAAGGCGTGACCCAGTTTCATGTAGTCTGTCAATTTAATTTAATGTATCGATTCCTGGTGGACCAGGGAACCTGCGTCCTGTACCCAGCAAATGAGGTGACTTTATCGCTTCGCTATGGCAGTGTCATGATCCAAAAACTAGTGCTTTAGCTGAACAGAATGGAATGCCGTATTGTGGGGCCAACAGTTTGCCTAAGTCCAGTTCAACTATCGATCAAGCTTGGTAGAACAGACTGTGAGGGAGCGAGAGAGGCCAGTCGTAGCCGGGTGAGCTGGGCTACTTTAACCCTGATAGCAAAAACGCAACCTGCATAAGGTCCAACTTGGAAAACGAATATTCGGGATGCGAGACTTCAATGCGTCACCTTTCCATGCGAGATGATTGTTACACTGTTCAAGTTCAAACCTTGTGCTGACAGGGTGGGGGGTTATCCATTCCACTTAAACCACTCCAACTACAGTGACTTCTTACTAGTAGATTGAAGGGTAAGAGCCGCCACCATGCCAACCAACAACAAAGCACTTCCACTTTCGTACATTATCAGAAGAATTCTTCTTTTTCCTCAGAAGCATCAGTAAGAGGTACAAGTGGAGCCAAGAATACCATCCATTCCGTATGTGCGAGTTTCCCTCGAGCTTCAAGCTACACATAGAAGTCAAGAGCCGTTCCTTTGGTTCGGATCTGACACAAACACACACTCACACACACACTTACAATAGGAACTGGAGCTGCAAGACATAGATAGAGTCTAAGAAGTCTCGAGATCGCTCTAACCGTGGGGCCAGACGAAGGACAGAATACATCTGTCCATTCGATGAATTATTTTCCTAGTTTTCATTCCAAATGCATAGCATCCAAGGTCGTGACTGCCAAGCTGGCAGACGTACGGCCAGCTGGCATAATTGACTCTCACGTTGTGCAGAGTCAGTTGTGCAAGTGTCATGCCTCCTCATTCATTAATCACTATTTCATCCTCAATAACTCATCCATTTACGGGTTCCATCTAACTTGCATCCATTCATGTCATGGCTATTTATTTAGGAGAATATTAAATCAATCTATGTTTTTATTGAATCGACCCATTATCATTGCACCTCCTCCTTCCCAAACCTTGTTCCCTTAGTTTCCAATTCTTATTCTCAACGTCCATTCCATGTCCTTGTTCCTTGCATTTCCATCATATATTTCCATCACACATCCTTTGTTTTGACTCTTAACTCCTCGTCTCGGATTTGCACTGACTTAGAGCTTTGGCCTTGAAAGTAAGCAATAGATTGAGGTAGCAATGGAAGAAGCTTGGATTGAAAGTTTTTTTTTTTTTTTTTTTTTTTTTTTTTCCCTTTTGTATATACAAAAGCTCAAAGAAACACAAGTAAATGAAAGATAAGCAAAAGAGGAATTTTTAAACACTATTACAACAATAATTGCTTTAAGTTGAAGTACTATTGACAAGAACTTTTTTTTTGAAATCTTTGAATTCAAGTCTTATTACAAACATACATGTTTATTTAAATAAGAAATCTTAGATAAAAAGTAAATATAGATAGATTTTATATTATTTTATAGGAAAATTACTTAAAAGCTTTATAAATGCATATTTGATTTAATACATGTTTATAGTTGATTAGTAGAGTAGAAACTTGGCTAACAAATTAGCCACATATCACACATATTGGTAGCTTGTATTACAAGCTTATGATGTGGCATATACATATGAAACTTGGCTTACAAGTTGATACGTGTCTCGCAAATTGGACATGTATTGGAGGTCCTGAAGAATGTTGCCATATAACTCCTCATTAAATAGTATATACAGAGGCAAGAGTGAAGCATTCTTCACTCTTGTCAACACCTTTCTAGTCCTTAATCTTATTTTAAGGCTTTTTAGTCTTCTTATCTTTGACAATAACTATTCTAGTTTAATATTATACCATCTTTGAATGATTTTTTAGTCTTTTTGAGTGACATAAGAGTATATTGATCTTTTAGTCTTTTAAAATTCATATTTTTAACAATTTGATAGGATTCTTCTTATTTTATTTTTAAAAATGAATGGATTATTCTACTTCTATTGTTATATTTTGAAGGTTGTAGACTATCGATATTTAAACTAATAGTTTAGTTATCCAATACCAATTTTTTTCTTAAAGAGAATAGACTACCTTTCTTTGTAGAAATTTTATTTGATATCAGAGATTGTACATTACTTTCTTTTAATTTGACTTGTGAATTTATCTGAATTTTCTATGAAAGAAAAAAATTATGGATGCTACTTTTAGTCGAAGTGAAAATAGATTTGCAATTATTACAAATCTTCATGAGCTTGTCAATATTCTTAGGATTGAAATCTCACATATTTCTAACGTGAAACATAGAGGTATTATTCCTACAACTATGGATGAATTCAATAATGAGATTGAGACTCTATGCTAAGAAGTTAAGCAATTGTGAGCCTAAAATCCACCACTCTATGGATTTAGTACTCCACAACGAGCTCAAGAGGTAGAATGGAAGAACTCCCAATTGTGAAATTTTTAGGTTAATTAAAATGTGGGTGTTTGTAATTCAATTAAAATTAACGCCTTCCAAGCAATGATTACTGATATTAAATTAAAATATCAGATGAAATTCACCACACAAAAAAAAATGATAAAAGTAATTAATTAAGTTTTTCTTATTAATTCACAATAAAGAATAAAACTTAAGATTAAATTAAAAGTTAAAAGTTAATGTTAAAAGTTGAAAATTAAAGTTAAATATTAAATTCAAAAGTTAAAGTTCAAAGTTTAAAAATTTAAGTGAGAATATTAAAGGTTAAAAGTTAAAAGTTAAAATTTGTTAGTCAAAAGTTGAAATGTGGAGATTACGAGTTACTGTGAAGATAAAAGTAAAAATAAAATAAGAGGGGTAAAAGCGAGGGTACCTTGACAATGCCAAGGATTGAAGGCAGCGACCCCCTTCTACTCCAAAATTTGCCAAAACTTTTATTTAGCTCCAAATTGAATGATTCATAGGTTGTTGCAAGGTTAACTTAAAGACGCTCCTGTCTCAACAAATTTCATTGCAATCTAGTGATTTATTCGTGAAAATTGCTCCTTTGAAGTTGAGTGATCCAAACTGCCGCGGCGACCAACCACTTTCATTTAGAAATTTGCTAAAAATTAAAATTGTCTTCAAATCCAGCGAAACTTGTGCCCTTCAAAGCTTAGCTTACAAATCTTGATGCTCCCAAAATTTCAAACGACTCCAGTTATCAGGCACTGAGAAATGCCTTTCCAAACTCGATTAATCCAAACTAGGAAGGCAGTCGACCCCCTCACATTCAAAATTTCACCAAAAATTCAGTTCAACTCCAAATGGAGCGAGCCTTATCTTATTGGAAAGCTAACAACAAAAGCTACAACCACAAAAAAAATCACATTGGAACTAAAACAATTGAATGACTGATGGAGGGAAATCTGAGGCTCTTGAAACCCTTAGAGTAATTGGGAGGCCAAGGGAGCTATTCACCACAATGAAACGTGTTTTAAGACCCAATGACTATCATTCACAACTCGAAATCCATGCACACCCACCCAAAAAATTCACAATGAGATTTAAAATCTAAATGAAATTAAAATTAGGATTTTTAGCCAAATTTTAGCATGACTTTGCCCTTCACCAAAAGAGGAGAGAGAGAGGGCTTGGAAAACCAAGCCTCTCTTATACAATTGAGTGGAGGCTCGTAGAAGGGTGAATAAATCTCCACCCTTGATTTTTTAGATCCCTAATCTAGATCTACGACCTTCATTCATCCAAGAGCCAATCTCGTTATCAAGGTTGATGGCCCTTGTAAGTGGTCAAGAAGGCATTTTTTTGTAAATCTAACTTCACTATTGTGTTCAAAATACCTTTTTAAGCTAAGATCGACTACTCACATGCCTCCAATCTATGCTCAATTATAATTTCCATCGAAGTTTTTACTTACAAGGATCTTGGCAATTTTTTTGTGAAATTCTTCAAAATGAGAATTTCATTGCTTCTCTTGTATTTTGAAGGAGAGGTTGCTGATCTTATTTTCTTCACTCCACGAGGTAAATCCGGTGCCATCATTGCATTAAAGAGACTCCCATTAAGTAGAAGAACCACCATGCCGCTTAAATTTGCCGAATTTGGAAGAAAAATCCAAAATTACCATTGCTAACTTCCCTAAATCTTTTAGAGAATTATAATTCCAACTCCTAAATCATGTGAATGATTATAGACATACTCATTGGCTTTTAGTCAACCCTTATAATAATGGCTAACAACCTCTAAATTATTAAACTAACTAAGTTGCTATTCTAATTTTCTAACTCTTGTCACTTTAGTCCTAATTAACCTAATTCAAGGAATTAGGCTATGATTTATACCATGAGGGGTTGTAATCCTAAAAATTCTATAAAACTGAATTCTACTTATATAAATCTTAATCTAATATATTTAATTATTAGAAAATAGGAAAATAATAAAAATTTAAATTTTAGAGTATAATCGAGAGCTGACAACAATTGAAAGAAACAAGTAGATCAAGT